TAAAAACTGAGTATCATTCCACTCAAACCTCTAACTTCAGTTAAAACAACCACTTGTAGGTAGTAAGTTCTACATGTTGAATTGCTCTTCTTTATAGAAATTTTGGTGCTTGAGAATTTCTCCGTTCAATATCTGTATAGACAGGGGTCCTTGAGAAAGATCTCTCTCTCTCTCTCTCACACACACACAACTAATCCTGGTTGTCAATTTTCAAAGTGACACCATTTAAAAGATCAATGCTAACTAGCTGAGAAATGTAATATATTCACCATAACCCCCTCGGTCTAGGTAATAATTTCCTAGTGACTCAGCTAATTGTGTCATCCAGGTAGTGTCAATCTCAATCTCTCAGCCTTATAATCTTCTTTCCTCCCTCCCTTCCTCCTTCTCTCACTCTCTGGAGTGTAAGCAGATAAACCGAGCTGTGCACTAGAAATGAGAGAAGTGTGTTTGCTGTTAGGTAGCACTTAACAGTAACTTTGTAAAGATGCAAATAATTGGGGTTAAAAAGAACCTTTGGATATTTTCAGGTTAAAAAGTGACTATTTCATAAGTATTCCTGAAAAGCAAACAGATGTTTAGACTCTTTTTATGGTCCTCCCATTAAGAAGCTCCCAGGAAGTTTGTATCCAAAACATATAAAGAATTTATACAACTCAACACCCCCCCCAAAAATCCAATAAAAAAAATAGGCAGAGGACCTGAAGAGATATTTTCTGAAGAAGACATAGAGATGGCCAACAGACAACATGATAAGGTGTTCAATATCACTGATCATCAGGGAAATACAAATCAAAACCACAATGAGATATCACCTTACACCTGTCAGAATGGCTAAGATAAAAAAAGAGGAGGGGCACCTGGGTGGCTCAGTCGGTTAAGCGTTTGCCTTCAACTTAGGTCATGGTCCCAGGGTCCTGGGATCAAGCCCCACATCGAGCTCCCTGCTCAGTGGGGAGCCTGCTTCTCCCTTTCCCTCTGCCCTCCGCTCACGCTCTCTCTCTCACTCTCTATCTCAAATAAATAAATAAATTTTTTTTGAAAAAGAGGAGAAATAACAATTGTTGGTGAGGATTTGGAGAAAAAGGAACCCTTGTGCACTATTGGTGGGAATATAAATTGGTGCAGCCAATATGGAAAATCATATGGAGGTTCCTCAAAAAATTAAAAATAGAAATACCATATGACCTAATAATTCCACCACTGAGTCTTTACCCAAAGAAAATGAAAACACTAGTTGGAAAATATATATGCACCCCTATGCTTATTGTAGCATTATTTACAATAGCCAAGATCAGGAAGTGACCTAAGAGTCTATCAGTAGATGAATGGATAAGGAAGATGTGGTGTATTCACACACACACACACACACACACACACACACACACAGAAATATTACACAGCTGTAAAAAAAAAAGGATGAGACTGTTTTGTGGCAACATGGGTAGACCTAGAGGATATTATGCTAACTGAAATAAGTTAGATGGAGAAAGACAAATACCATATGATTTTACTCATTTGTGGAATCTGAAAAAAAAAATGAATAAACAACAAAAACCAGAATCAGAACTGTAAATACAGAGAACAAACTGATGATTGCCAGATGGAGGGGTATGGGGACATGGGCAAAATGGGTGAAGAGAAGGGGGAGCTACAGGCTTCCCATTGTGGAATGCGTAAATCATAGGCACGAAAGGCACAGCATAAGAAATAGGGTCAATGGCATTGTAATTGTGTTGCGTGGTGACAGATGGTAGCTAGGCTTGTGGTCAGCATAGCATAATATATAAACCCGTCAAATCAGAAACATGAAACTAATGTAACATGATGTGCCAACTACACACAAATAAAAAAAAACACTAAAATTCATATAAAAGCCCTGAGGAAACTCCTTCATTCAGATATTATTTTGCAATTAAGGTTATAATTATAATTGTTAAGGTTCTGGTAGTGATGGGGAAAAAAATCATACCTAATGGTTTTCCCTATCTTGAGACTTTCACAAACAGAAGACTCAATTTTGACTTCAATGGCACTAGCCCCTAAGTCTGCAAACTGTAATTCTGTTTTTAGTCTGTGTGTCCATTCGTCCATCCATCCATCAAATATCCACCCAACAAATATTGACTTGAAGTGCACTGGGTGCCAGAGTTATGCAGTAAAAGACATGAGTCTTTCATGGAGTTCCCATATGCTGTATTTTCAGAGTTGCCTTCCTTGCCTTTTCCTCTCCTATTTATTAGAGATTTTAGAGGTGTTATGCTTTTTTCAATTAATCGAAATTTGTAACGGCATAAGGAGAAAGCACATACTATGAGAAAAGTCTTAGCTTCTAGATCCTGTAGATTATTAATACACAGCTTCATTTTCTTGGATGTTCCCTAAGGTTGTGAATAATTTAAAACATTAATTTTTTTTGGTGGAGAGCTTTCTATATGCATTGCAGAACTCCTTTCTTTTTAATGTAGAATACACTAATTATTCAGGTTATTACTAATATCAGTTATTATGCTATATCATAAAACAGTGGCTGTGTTGGGCCTCTATATTGGGATAAAGGATCATTGGCATCGATACTGAGTAGCCCTTGACCACTGGGATTTCGGGTGTTCGTCTGCCTTTTTTTTTTTTTTTTGCAGTTTATCTGTCTTCTTTTACTTTATGCTGGTAATATCAAACTACTTGCTCAAGTTCGTGACATTGATTTACTGCATCTAAGTTGCTATGGTCTTAGAAATGATCTTATCATCTAACAAGATTGTTAAACAATTTAACTAGAGGTAAGATAGCTGTTAGGAAGGATAGAAAGATCCTTCTGTGAAAAGATAAGAACTTTATCTTTGTGATATCTCTTTTGGCTGTTCAGAGGCTGGTTTTTATTTTCTTCTTGTTTCTCTATAATGTTATAAATAGGTAACATTTGCTGGGTAGCTGTGTTCTTGATAATTAAATTATTCCTCTACAGAATGTAGCCTTCCATATGGTTTAACTTGACTTTTTTTTTTTTTGGTAAGGGCTTCTTAGAACTATACTTTGCAACTGGTAGCTATTTCAGCTGTTTAAAAACTACCAAACTGCTTACTGTGGCTTATTAGAGTGATATCATGAAATGAGTGTAAGAGGTAGATATTTTGTTACAATTGGTCCATTTTGACATAAATATTCTTTTCCCTTATACATTGATTTGGCAAAAGTAGGGCTCCCTGGAAGTACATGCTGTGATCTCTAGACTTCTACACTTACTCATTTTGGTAAGAACACAGGGAAAGTGAGACTTGTTGACTAAATCCCAGAGATCATAAATCAAAAAAGTAAAGCACCCTGCCTTACTGCTTACCAATCCAATGTCTTCTCAGATACCCTGGGGGAGATGGGATGATGCTGAGTGGGACTCAGAGGACAGAACTGGGGATCAGTGGTCAAGAATGGCTTTACTGGGATCTTATTAAAGAGCGATGAGGAGAGACTATTTCTCAGTCTGGAGATTTCCAGACAAACCAAATGGAGAGTGCTAAAATCTGTGATTAAAAAAAAAAAAAAAAAAAAGGACTGGAAACTTTTATTAGGTACTCCAGAAAATCAGAAGGTTTTTTTCTCCCCTAGAAATTACTGGTTTCATCATCTGACAAGGTTAAGATGTCAGGGAAGCTGTCACATTTTGTTCTTTTAAAACTGATGCCATTTGATGACACAAGAGGGTATTAATCATCAGGAGTCGGTAAGAGAAGAGTGGGTCTCCACGTCTTATTTAGACCTTTTAGAGCCCAGGATCATTTTATACCAAACTCTGGCTTGCTCTCAGTCATTCCTAGCCAAGGGCCATACTGAGGTCTTATTTTCTACAGCTGGGCTGTCCACTCTCATAGCCACTTGCCATCTAAATTTATTAAATTGAATAAAATTAAAAATTCGGTTCTTAGCAGCACAGGTCCCATTTCAAGTGTTGAATGGCCATGCATGTCCTGTGGCTCCTGGACTGAGCAGCACAGGCATGGAACATTTCCATCAGTGCAGAGAGCTTATCGGAGAGCGCTGTTCTAAGAGTTCTGCCTCCCCCATACACAGGGTCTCACCAGGAACCCTTGGGGCTGGCAGTTTTATCTCAGTAAATGCCTCGATGGGTCCGACTGTAGGACTTCCCCTGAACTGTATCCTACAACACTGAATCTCTACCTCTTGGCCCCTTTCTGCGACAGGGTCCCGAGAGAACTCTAGGACTTTATATCAATACTACTCCTGGGTCTTCAGATTCCCTCTCTTTGTATTTTGAAAACTGAGTTATTTCCATTAATTGGCTGTGTAACTAACCAACCAGTGTTCTTGCTGACTCTGTTAACAATGGAACATGTTTAGTATGCTGTCGAAAAGATCCTTAAATTGGGAGCTGGACAAAATGAATTGTGAGGCTTTAGGGCTCTATGGTTCTACTCATCTCAACAAAACATAGAGGGCCGATTGATGTTCTCTTTTTCTATAAGCTGTCAAGAAATGTGTTCCATTAGGTATTTTGATTACCTAGCTACATATTTCCATATGTTTTTGTTTTGGTTGAGGGTGGGGATGATGAAGTAGCTGGGGAATAGGGGAAGTATTTAGGTTGAAAACAAAAACAAAAACAATAGAATTTGAAACCCAAGGCCCATAGGGCAGAATGATTAGCCTTAGATGAATTCTAGTGTCAGAATTTCCTACAGTTTTACTGAAGAGACTCTTAGTTCCTCAGAGCTTGGTTATCATTCTGATTGGATATGAAGATGTTGCCAGTTAGGTCCCTAAGGAGAACTGAGGACAGACACTGCTGAATACTCAACCTCACTCTCTACGAGTGACTTTGGACAATTGTGGAGAAAGAGGGATGAGTGAGAAAAAAGTCTGAGCAACTGACTTAGAAAATTTACCAGGTAGATTTACCAATCAGCTTTGATCCACTCGTTGGGAAGCCCTGATGATGGGTATTCATGGCCCTAAGTATGTTCTGGAGAAATCCTCCACCAACCTACTTGTTATGAAAATCGTAGATCTCCTGGATGTTGCCAAAGATGATGTGCTCTTTATTAAGGATCCCAGGGGGGATCTCCTCCACGCCGCTGGTCATTTCCCACAGGTATGTCTGTAAGACAGCAACAGCTTCATCATGGTCAAGAACTACAAAATGCAGACAAAATAAACAGGTCTTCATGCTGGAAGGGTAAGCCTCAGACTGGGCTTGCATGTAGAGTGTAAAAAAATGAGATGGTAAATACACAGAACGGGAAGAAAGAAAACCCAAATGTTCCATTATCTTCAACTGTTGCCAGAGAAACTCACGTCCTGAACTTCAGCAAAGCACAAACTCTACATTCCTCTTATTTATTAAATGTGTGTGTTTGAGTGTGTCGGGTGGGGGAGGGGGGTAGATTTGCACACTCAACTTAAGTTCATTGACTATGTCATGGTTTTTATTTTGAATTCAAGCCTTCTGTACGTTTTTGCTGGGTCCAGCTCCAGTCTGAGAAAAGTTTCTTTTCAAAAGCATTTTAAACTCCCATGCAATTACTACTGACTCTGGAAGAAAGATTTCCTCTGTTGGCTTTTATCTGTGAAGTTCTGGGAGAAGACAAAGAGCACTGAGCTTTTCTCAAGGACTGACGCTGGCAAGGCTGTCATTTTTCTAATACAGCTGTGCACTGATTACTGCAAGACTTACCTCTAAGCACTCATGTAAGTCCCTTACATAAGCCTTCTCCGTCTGCAGCAATTCAGCCATAATGAATCTAGGAAGAAAACAAACAGACTTTTAGTTGGTTCGAGATATAATACCTTATAGCTTGACTCTCAGCTTCCTGCTTTCTCTTGCAGCTCCCAGAATGATGATTTCTGTTCAACAGAACTGCTGACTTTTGCCAAAACGCTTTGCAGAACCGTCAGTTAAGCCAGGTTTAAAAGCCAGGCACAGATACTCAAGACACCACCATGGAGACTGGTGGGTAGCAAACTTAGTCTGTAAAGAGCTAGACAGTAAATACTCGTGGGCCATTAAGTCTCTGTCACAACCACTCCACTTTGCTGTTGTAATGTGAAAGGAGCCATGGACAATATGTAAAAAAAAAAAAAAAAAAAAAAAAAGTGTGGCTGTGTTCCACTAAAACTTTATTTATGGACACAAAAGAGTTTCATCTCATTTTTACATCGCAAAATATTTTTCTTCTGCTATTTTTTCAACCATTGAAAAAAAATTGAAAAATATAAAAAATACTTTTTCCCTTACAGACTCTATGAAACAGGTAGGGGGGGTCAGATTTGGCCTGTGGGCTATAGTTTGCTGACTCCTGGCCTAGACCACCTGTGCGCTCTGGCACTATTTCCACCCAGGCTCGCTTACAATCCAAACTGGTGCCCGGGAAGCGGAGCGTGCGATCACAAGCAGAGCACAAGTTAATGATGTTGTGTCTGCTCTTCAGTCTCTCCTAACGGAAAGGGCTGCAAGGAGAGGGCTCCCTTCCTCTTGGGCCCCTGAACAACACGATGTTCTCGGGCAGTTATTACACTGAGGATGCCTGGCTTCACTGTGGCGTACCAACTGCATTTGCTTTCTTTCACAGATTTTTCTTAGAAAGGGTGCTTCTTAGCTGGCATGTGATGCAGTAATATCTCATTGACCCAACATAGAGATTTATGCATTTATCTTAGGCTATGTCAGTTTTTCATGGTAGCTCATAATGAAAACCCCTACTTGCAGGTGTCTTCATCTTCACATGAAAATTTTGAGAATGATTAGCCCCAAAGCGTCCTCTGTTGGAAATTTCACAAGAAATATGAAAACGGGCAGCATCTTTTCCCAGGCCTTTGTCTTTGTAGAATTTTCCTTAAAGCAATCCATTGTTCTAGCAATGGCCTTTCCGTTAATATTAAAGTACTGATTCAAAAAAATTCCCCTTTGCAGGAGTTCATTAGCCACTCTTTTACTATTCTTACTCTATTGGAAGAGTGGAAAGGGTGTGAGCCTTGAAGTCAGACAAATAGGAGCTGAATTATTATTTTGTCAGTTATTGGAAGTAGGACTGGCTTCTCCAAACCTCAGACTCCTTACTTATGAAACAGCTGACCACACGGGTTGCTGCAAGGATTAAATAAGATCACATAAGCAAAGTTTCTTACACATTGCAGGTGCTTGGTAGACAAGAAAAGAAGGAAAATCAGAAGGGACGTAATCTGACGTGCTTTGAAAAGTTGTCTTTGGCTTCCTTGCCTTGGGTTTCTGGTATTCTTCTACCCTGTCCTTTTTTCTCCATCTGCTTCCTGCAGTTTAACCTGCCTTCTTCATAATTCAGCTCCATTACCCTCTACCCCATTTTGTTTTCTTTTCCACCTGTCCTTTTCCATCCTCTGGCTATTTGGTGTCCCAGGGAGAGTGTAGAAGGAAGATTTGGCTAAGTATGGTCTCTTTATTTCCCTCCCTGTTATAGGCCTAATTGTGTCGCCCCGCAACCCCCCCCCCAAATTCATATGTTAAAGTCCCAACTCCTAGTACCTGAGAATGTAACCTTATTTAGTCAATTGCAAATGTAAACAGTTAAGATTGGGTTATACCGGAAAAGGGTAGGCCCCTATTCCAAAGTGACTGGTGTCATTAAAAGGAGAAATCTGGATATAGGTATATATTCAGGGAGAATGCCATGTGCACCTGTAGCCAGCCATCTAGAAGGTAAGGAGAAAGGCCTGGAACACATCCTTCCCTCCCAGCCCTCAGAAGGAATCAGCCCTGCCAACACTTTGATCTCAGACTTCCAGTCTCCAGAGCTGTGAAACACTGTATTTCTGTTGTTTAAACCATCCAATTTGTGATACTTTGTTACAGCAGCCCAAACAAACTAATACACTCCTTAGATAAAACACAAGCTCCAGGCTTTGCAGAACAGCTTCAGTTTCTTCTGCTCCAAGGGATCCTGGGGTCCTCCTTTATTTTGATAAGATCAACTACATTGGGTTTCTTAATTTTAGAACATACTACTTTTTCCAGTACTACCCAAAAGGAATCTGTCAAAATATTCTTCATAAAGCCCTTGCAAAGATCTCTGGATATGTGTAACTTTCTAACACCAACACAAAGAAAGCAAAGCGATCACGAAATGGTTTGTTAGGTGGACATGGTTCATTGTTTCCACTATCCAACGCTCTATAATTCTTGATTAGTGTGAAATGTGGGTGGAAGCATCATGTCTGTCCATTCCAACCTCTGTGGGTGGTCATGAGGACACATGAAGCTGTCCAAAGGGGCATGTAGGAGTGAAAACCAAGTATAGTCATGAGGAGCTTGCTAATTGGGTAGAAGCTCCCCAAAACATACTCTTTCTTCCGGGCTGACTTCCGCTTCTCTTCATTGACTTCGTGGTTGGCGTCCCGTAGCTTGACCTCACGATCTGAAAGGCTTGCTGGGATGATGTCCAGCTCCAGGTCCTTGTTGTCCTACACACAGAGAGATTGCAGAGGTCACCTTGGAGATGCCTTGGGAGAGGAACTTATCAGAGCCAGGGGAGGCGGTAGAAGGCAAAAAGAGAGGAAGATACATTGGAGCAGGTTGTAAAGACAGGGAATCCCACAAACAGCCACCTACATGTCCTCCTCTTCATGGAATTTTTTTTTTTTTTTCAGATAAGAAAGATATAAAATGTTCAGGTCAAATGGTCAGGGCTAAAATCCATGGCAAGGAAAAACAATAAACACATTTAATAATTAGTGTCATATTTCCCCAAGGACTTTGGTCCTGATTAAATCTAAATGTACACACACATACACAAATTAGTCTAAAATTGGTTATTAACCATTAAAATAGATGTGAAACAGAAACACATATAGACATAAGAACACTTTCATTTGTCAAGGGAAAATAATAAAAGCCAATATTTTTATCTAAACAAGAACTTCCCTTGCAAAGAGAAAGCTAAATGATAGAACAATTATTAAATTTGCCCATCTCTGCTTATTTTAACCACTGTTTTGTATTTATATAGGATGGAAACCTTTAGGAAAAATCTCACGGTTTAAAGCCTTGGGGAGGTGTTATTATTTCCCCCAATTTTAGTGGTTTAAGCAGTTCACTCTCTAGTCTGTTCTGCTTCAGAGCATCAGCCTATTTAAAGATTTAAGAATTAGAAATCCTAGGATTAAATTGCCAGCCTATATTTAGCTCTTAATTCAGAGGTTACTGACCTCTATTACAAAGAAGAGATTAAAAGTCAGTCTTCCCTTGATTCTTGGCAAATAGTACCTCTTTTCAGTTGAAATGTCAAATAGCCTTTGCACAATTGCATCCCTTACTCTTGAAAGAATACTGTAATACATACTGGGGACCCTAACCTTTGCTAATTAACATAATTGGGTGGAAGATGGTACTGATGAAGCCAAGGTAAAGGGTTTAGTCCTCAAAGTCAACAGTTAACTCTACACATAGAAAAACTCTGTTCTGTAGCCATGGGCCCCATCCCCGGCCAGCCAGTTTTGCTATCTAGCATTAATCATGAGGGGCTGGAGGCCAATGGCTCATCAAGATCCATCCCCTCCCCTAGAAAAATCACACAAGGCAAGCGTTCTAGGGGTCAAGAGCTCAGAAAGACTGCTCTGGAGAGCCCACTTTCTTCCATGGTAATGAGAGCAGCAGTGCCAAGAGAGACGAGAAGGAAGGGTGTCCCAGGTGGGCAGCGCCCATGCCTACCTCTGTGTTGACGCCTAGCGCTTTTTCCAGGGAGTACCGGTACTTTCCCATCCTCAAGGAGAAGTCTCTGTAATGCTTGTCCACCGTGGTCACCCATTTTCTGATCTCCGTGGCATGAATGTGGCCTTTTTCCACAAAGCTATCGGCCAGTTGAATCAGAAGCTTCACCTTCTCCTTTGTTTGCTGTCCCAAAAGATGGTCTCATGTTACTAGATTACATTTACTCTCATGGCCTTTCACTCCCATCCCCTTTTCTTCACAGCAGCCACAGATACTTCACTGCCTGCCTGGGTTTATAGCCCAGCTCTGTCACTAGCTGGGAGGTCTTGAACAAACTACTTAAATCCTCTGTGCCTCAGTTCCTTTATCTGCAAAATAGGGATCATAATAATCCTCCATCATAGGGTTGTTGTGAGCATTTCATGAGTTGACAATGTAGAATGCTCAGAACAGTGCCCGGGACGTGGTGCTCACGTTAAGAGCTCAGGAAGCAATATATGTTAGCCAACATGATTACTGTTAAGCATCTCGTGCATTAATACGGCCCTTTATCAGGTCACAGAATATGTTAACGTCACATCTGAGACTCATTTGAGTCTTAAAGCATCTCTAAAATGTGGGTGGAAGGAGGTGGTGTGGATCTCTTTGAACCAGAGATGAAAAAAGCTGAGGCTTAGAGAGGCTTAGGGCTTGTCCAAGTTCATATCACCTGTAAGTGAATGATAGAGCCTGTTGGCTTCTGGACCACAGTGCCTTGTTCTCTCCCTTCACTGCACTGGCCTGAAGGTAGGCTTTGTCAACAGCTAAGGTGGCACATGCCAGGATCTAAAGAAACCCAATTAGCAGATTAAGAGTAAAGTCTGTCCCTTTCACCACTAGGATCTTGTCTTTAGTTTCCATTAGAGAGAGAGAGAGAGATAAGAAGAGAGAGAGAAGAGTTAATGAAGCTAGTATCTATTATGTGGCTGAGTAAGGTGTAGTTTTGATGTGTATTGGATTCATTTCATTTCCAGCAAGAGTCTGTTCAACACTTACTCTGTCTACACCATTGTGCAGAGGGCTGTGGGGACAGGCTTGGGGGGTAAATAAAAGAAGAGAAAAAGATATTCATTTTCCCCAGTCTATTATCTCTAGAGGGGACAAGATTGTCATGCAGAGTGGTTAAAGAACTCAGGGCATTATGAAATTGAATGTCAACATGAGAAGTATGTGGAGTTAACACTGCAGGAATTTTAAAACAGGAAAAAAAGGAAGGTGGGTTGTCATGGGCACGAAAGGTCCTGTGGGGAGGAGGGACTTACGTTGGGTAAGATATGGAAACAAAGGAGATGTTCGAAGAAGTAAACACTTGCTCATCTTTTATCCTAAGATTGCGTTTTGAAACTCCAAGATCAGGGAAGCTTGATTAATTTTAAGAAAAAGGAAAGAATATTTAAATGATATTCTGAGAAATAAAATTATTACCTTTTGGATTGGAGGAGAGGAGATTCAAGGTTTTTTTGTTTTGTTTTGTTTTTGTTTTTTAAGATTTTACTTATTTATTTGAAAGAGAGAGAAAGAGTGCGAGCATGAGGTGGGGGGGGAGGGGCAGAGGGAGAAGCAGACTCCCCACTGAGCAAGGAGCCTGATGCGGGACTCCATCCCAGGACCCTGGGATCATGACCTGAGCTGAAGGCAGACAGACGCTTAACCGACTGAGCCACCCAG